GTCTACAATTTATACCCAATTCACTTACCTGCCTAGGTTTTTTCTGGGACCAAAGGCATGCCCCATCAGATAGCACCATTTTTATCATTTCACTGCAAGGCTCTCCCCACTTTCCAGATATGGAGATTCCTGAGGAGGACAGAGGATCTTTGCAATCATACAGGGGATCATGCCTGGCTGTGGATGTGTGTGTCCTGTTGAGCAGTGGGATTGCAATACCATCTCCTCTAAAATGAGAAAATATCCACTCATGCAACAACCAAGTAGGCTACACTCCCTAAACAAAGGGGTGCAAAATACATGTGTTAAAAAATCCAGAACAAGTGTTTATCATGCGCTTCTCAAGAAAGAGAAGCAGGTGTCAGGTTTAGAGCTTGCTGCCTAAATAATCCAATATGAAAGAAACCGCCCTTCTCAGGAAAACAGTGGCAGTTTGGGTAAGAAATTTTTTAATTTTAAGGCCAATGAGGGCTGCATAGTTCATAACACAGACCAAAACACCTCCCCACAAAGCAGGGGCTCAGTTATAGCCATACTTTACAGAACCTTGTGCTGTGTTGGCAGGTAAAATGAATTTAAATAAGGGAGAAGCACATGGTTGGTGTCCACTTGAGGCTATAATGCAGTGCTTAAACTTACACATAAGTAAGGAAACACAAGCCTACTGAAGAAAAATGTGAAGCTGACACAGCAAGATGGCTGCAGTCATGGCTTATGTAGCAGCAGTATGGAGAGAGTGCAAAAGAGTGGAAGATAAAGTGAGGTTCAGTGGCATGTGGGTGTCTTTTGATACATGGTTTGTTCCATTCATTTATTCCACGTTGGCTGGTGTCACATATCCCAAAGGTTTCAGGGCTCTTCTCTGCCATAGGTTTTCGGAGTAGTTTCAGCTGCAGAGTCGCTGTCTACCTTCACCAGGCAGCCGCAGCCGCCAGCCTGCAATCAACTGCAGCATCTCTGTCCCAGCCAAACTTCTCCATAACCATGGCCAGCCAGTTTCTTCATTAAATGGCTTTCCCTTTATACTGACACAATGTCCATTTTCCCATGTCTCTCATGCCTTCCAGCCAGGGCCCAATTTGCCACAGCTGGAACAGGGGCTGCCCTACCTGGGACCAGGGACAACCACCACAGCTGGCACGAAATGAGGGGTGATTCAAGCAAAGTCAGTGAAAGTACTGTGGTTCACACCATGGGGACAGACACAGACTTGAGTTCTTGAGTTCTGTCCTTTGCTTTATATGTGCACCACCTCTTTTCTCATCTCACCATTTCTCCAACCTCCATCACAGCACAAGCTTCCCCAGCTGGCCTGTGTCCTCCCAAACACCTCAAGTCAGCAGCACCCTGGCCACAGACAACATTTTTAATTCAATTTTTTGTTTATTTTATTAAAATACTAACAGTAAATACATTAATTAGTAAAATAGAGCAAGTAGAAAGCACAAGGTGAGATGGAGAGATTTGCCCAGCTATAAATAGCAGATAGAATAAACAGGCAACTGTGAATCATGGGCTGGGAGGCTGGGCTTCACATAAAGGCAGCACCTGCTGCTGGGAGACTTCCACCAGTTTATTTGTTTGCTTTTAAAACAAAAACAAAACAAATGATGGACTCCAGACTGACAGGAATGTTTTCTCGGAAAACATTAATACTTGGTGATCATTGGCAGATATTTTTTCTACCTCCTGTGCAATATTTGACCCACTCTGCATGCCAGAGGCAAGGCAGGGCTTTTGGTACAGAATGCCCTTACCGCAAACTCTTGGGATGTGCTGGCAGCCTGGGCAGCTGCCTGCAGATTAGCAGGATGGGTCATGGCACATTAACTGTGGGAGGCTTAGGACATTACACAGAAATGGAGATTTTGGGATAGGCAGTATGGTTAGATGGGGGAGTGTATGGTGGGCTCTGCCCTGGGGGATGCACAGCCTGAATGAAGAAAAGGCAAGAATTCTTAGCCTTACTAATGCTCCACAACCAAATTTCAGCCATCACTGCAGTTGAGCTCAGTAACTTGTTTTTGTCTCTCAGAAAATCATCCTGATTGGACACAAAGCCATTAAGAGATGGTGAGCCCCAGACACATTCTGTTTCAATGTGTGCCAGCACCCCCTGCGTGATGTGCCTCATTCCTTATTTACATTTGCCCGGCTTTAAATTGCAACCCCTGCTGCTTGTTATGTCTCTCTCTCCTAGATTAAAGAGCACTAAAATGTCACCCTTTCAGTGTTATCATCTGCCCTCTGCTATTATTGCCTCACAGTAAATAAAAGGGACTTCCCAGTCATTATTTTATACCCCACAATCACAGTGCTTTTTCAGATCAATTAGTTTTCACCCCTCTTATCTGCATTCAAGGCTCACCTCCCTTTCAGGGTTTCCATTGCCTGTTCAGGGACCTTTCCTATGTCTCCTCTGACCTATGAGAAAGGAGAAGAGCTGACTCAAAAGGAGAGCTTGGTGTGAGGACATCCGATCTTCTGACAGACCAGACGAGCTGATGTCGAACATGGCCAATGTCTTTGTGCATGTCTGAGCTTCTTACTGCGCATCCTGGGAAGATAACATGATTACTTACTTGCCTGTAAAGTTACATCCCCTTTGGCATGATGAGCTTATCCAAGACACATCAGTGTGCGTGACTTGGTATTTATCTATAAGGGCTTTCCTTTTCTACCTTGTGCCAAATTACCTTTCTGTAGGATACTCTTAACTGAAACCCTTTTATTTTATACACTCTCTCTTTCTTCCCTGGGATACATAAAAACATCAGGGCAAAATATTTTTTTGCAAAAAACTGCAAAAACTAGCTTGACTGGGGATGATCATTAGATTTTCTCCCTCTCTCTTCCACATCAGCACTTTTTTATTTTGGCAAGAACCCATGCAATTACCTAATAGCTACTTGATACTATGTGAGAACCAGAAATTAATCTTAAGAATGTCAGCCCAATTTCATTGTCCAGCTTGTGAAATGTCTAAAATCTAAGCTCTCAACAATGTATAAAAGCACATTGGAAGCCACTGAAGGCCAGTTTGGACTACGTGACAGTGAAATGTCTTTTAAGTGCTGGTAGAAAACTGTGTTTAGCTTTTAAATATAGCTTTTCAACACCCTGGTATGGTTTTACAAAGTAGGAGCAGCATCACTGTTCCCCAAAATATCCTAACCACATCATGCTAGAAATGGAGCTTTACTACTTCCTTTTGTTTCCTAGCTACCAACAATTTTTTATCTTAGTAGTAGAGATAAGCAGTGAAATTTGGCATTCAGACTGCAAATTCATAAACGCCTTAAAAAACCCTCATACATATATACATATCTATCTATCTATCTATATACATCTGTAACAGTTACAATTGCTCAAATAGTTCTCTTCTCAGAAATGTTTCAACTACCAACCTGCATCCTGGATGCCCACTCATTCCTGTCCTGCAGACCCTGGCAGCCTACACCTGGACCCCCCCCCAGTTCTGCCCCTACCCCACAGGCCACTCCACCCCAGCCCCCCAGCACCGTCCTACACTCCTTTCCAACTCCAACCCCATCTGCTATCAGAGCATTCTCTCTTCTCTCCTCTCACCCTTCCCAGCTCTACCAGTCCCTTTACATTCATCACATTAAAGAAAACATTTCATGGTCATCTCTTTTATCTCCTTCAGTGAGCAGTTAATCAGAAAAAATGCTTTCATGTTGCTAAATCAGGGCCAGTGGGCAAAGCCAGGCTGACAAGAGACATTTTCCTCTGCCACTAACGTGGGCTAAATAGTATTAATTACAGAGGCTGGGCTTTGATTGCTGGAGTGTGGTGGGACTGGTGAGAGCTCTCTCCTCCCCCTCCGCTCCCTCCCACTGCAAACCCACACTGCACCTCCTCTACCTGACTGCCCTTTGCCAGCATCCTGGTCCCATGTAACACCACAACTGCAAGTGGGATCCTGTAAGTCTTCATCTGGGCTGCTCAGACACCACCTCTGGTGTGTCAGGTCCCTGGCCTGCAGGACAGTGACAGCCTTCAGCCCAGCTGGGTGGTGGGGGTGTCCCTTTCCTTGCTTCCCCCATGCTTGTCTGTCCAAGGCAATGTTTTTTTCCAGGACAGGGAATGTTTTCTATGTGTTTCAGAGAACCTGAGGTCAATAGACATCACCCCACACAGTGTTTCTCATCCTGTGGTCTGTGGGCCACAAGTGGTCTGTCAGATGTCAAACAGACTGCAAAATGACTGCAGACAATTTCTGGGGATAGACATATCCATCCTCACGCATGCCAAAAAAAAAAAGGAGCAAAGACAAGAGGCAGTTGGAGGAGAAGGCAAATTGAGGACAATGTGTTACAACTCAGCCCTCTGCGGGGAGGTCCAAAGGTGTTTATTGCTCTTTCAAAGAAATAAAGTTCAAAAAACACCAACCCAGACTAGCCCCACAGTCACAAGTGGTCCCCATCTCTGCACATCTCCTACAACATTATGAAGGATATGATGCTGTGCCCCAATCTTTGTTGGCAATAGTATCCCCCATGTCTTCCAGGTGGGGAGGCAACAACCTTCCATCACACTGGCGGCATCAGTAAATAGCTGGTTAGCAATTCTGCTGAACTGGCTTTCCACAAATTACCAAAACAGGCTGAATCCCCAGACACATGAATCACAGCTGAAACATGACTGCTTTTTAGAAGCAGAATGCCACTAACTGCTTTCCCCATCCCTCTCCAAGCTGAGCAGGGCTTTACAAAAGTGACCACAGGAGGAATTTTCAGGGCGGTCACTGTTTCAGAGACCTTCCCTTGGGATGGGTGGCACAGCTGGAGGCCTGAGTTAATCTGTGGTTTAAGCCAATTAAGGTGACTGTCCCTGGTGACCCACAGTGACAAGCTCTGCTCCCATGCAGTAGGCAGCAAAGTGGGGGCGCAGCACACCAGGCAACAGACTTACTACAAAACTCAGCTGGAGCAGCCAGGAAGTACAACATTTTTAAATGCTTTTTCTTTGTTTTGAGAGTTTGCTGCTGTATATCAAGACCTGTTTCTCCAGCCAGCACTCTAGCATGGTTATAGCTGCCTTTCACATCCTTGGTGTGAGCCCAACTGGGTGATGTCTGCAAATCGGGGTCCCCTATTCCCATCCCATGATACTTCAGATCCTTCTTCCTCCTCTGTGCTGCAGCTGGTTTCCACAGGCTCATCCTGCCTCCTGTGTTGATGCTTTGCTCTACCCTGTGGAAACACAGAGGGAAGCAGAAGTGGTAGATCTGCTCCATTTTGCCCCACTCCACACTGTAACCTTCTATGTACTCTTTTAAAGATCACATGGACCTGGTTTTCCCAGACAGAAACAACAGGTTGGAGCCTCCACCAGGGCAAATCAGCACAGGGTCTTGGAGGTCTGCAGCACAGTCTATCCACTTAGACACATTTGCTCTGAAGAGCAAACAATTGGAGAATTGGGAAAACAGTGGTCAGGGCCCAGCAACCAAAGTCAGCTAAACCTTGATATACCAGTAACTTACAGTGATCCAGCTGCTCAAGACAGGTTACTCCAAGTTTTTTAGGAACAGGGCCCTTTGGACTATCTGGATTTCTAGGGCAAAAGACCTCACACTTGTCAATAGCTTCATTCGCACCTTCAAATTAAAGTGTAGCACCGAAGAGAATGAAATACTCAAGTAACCCAACTAGGTCGTTGTCCCCGTGCTACTCCTTTTGATATTCAAATGTGTTTTAAGCTAACAGTGTTGTATTTATAGAATACAGTGTAGCAGTTACCCACAACGCCCTGGAAGAGCTGTTGAGGAGGCAGAAATAGACATTTTGATGTCTAGGAGGGCAGTACAGAGCCTAGGGGATAAGAGCGTTCTCAGGCAACATGCAATAGTGAGGGAAGCTATGGCTTGACTGGCCACTGCTGAGTTTAGAGTTAAGAGCATATTGATATGAATGACAGCTCAGAGTCCTCGTTGCAGCATAATTCAGAACACAAACAATGCAGCGGCATCTTTTTAGATTAACTTGAAATATTTAGGGCTTTCTTCATTGCCAGAAAGATGCAAAACTTCTCTTCTTCTTTTTTTCTTCCTTTTACAGTGGAAATGTAGAAGATAAGAGCAGCCTGGATCAAATTAAGCCTGCATCTCGCCCAATGTTTTCTGGCGGGCCAGTTTTCAGTTGCTTCTGAGAGAAAGGCAAGAAGCTTTGCAACAGTGGGATAACGTGCTTGCCAAAAGAGTTTCTCCCTTAGAATTGTCTCTCTTGCTCAGAAGTTGTCTTCTGCCTTGAGGCAGAATGGTTTCTGTCCAAAGCTACTTGATTTGACTTTGTTCTTTGTTTGTTTTCAGTTCTTCAGGCTGTCACTGTGATTAATAGGTCTTTGGTGCTGGAACACAATTCTCAGATGAATACTGTCTTCTGTGGTAAATTCCAGGGCTGCTGAATTACAGAATAAATCTTACCTTCATGGAGTGGATGGCTGGTGCCTTTGGAGATAGTACAAGGTGCCAGTAGACCACCTCCCTGTCAGTCTGCAGAAGGTCATAATTCTTTGCTGAATTTCTGCATATGAGGGCCAGGCCATCCTCCAGCCTGAGCAATGATCTGGGCCTGCCTGAAGCTCCACTGAGCTCCACACTTGGGAATCTGCTGCCACATGGTGGCATACACTCTCTCTGCCTGGCCCTAGGAATCCCTCCTTGGCTTCCAAGAGGTAGCACATGTGGGAAGAGAACTTCTGAGCTCTGCATTGTAACTAGCACATCAAGTTTCCAGGGACCCATTCTGGAGCTACTAAAAGCTTTTCCAAGAGCATTGTGGAGCTACACATGTGGAGCTACACAAAAGTGTCAGGGATGCTGGCAAAAATTCTGAAAGGATCTCAGATGCTTTGGGGTAGGATTTGTAAATGAAAGACTGTTACCAAACCTGATGACATTAGAAGTATTTTCACAAAGCAGGGCAAGGTCTGCATCCATAGCCTTGAATTTCTGCTCTGCAGCAGAAGGTCAGCACCACGCAGGAAAAGAAACTACAGAGATCATTCCTGTTCCTGACAGAGACTGAAAAGCAGAAGGGTGGTTGTCACAGAAGCTGGTGGAGAGCATTGCTATCTCTGGCTGTGTGCAGCACTGCCAGTTTTCCATGCTGTGTTTCACTCCTTGAGGCCACAGGTTTCTTTGTGCTAGGTCAGACAGCTGTGTGCTGCTTAGAGAGGACACACTTGCAAGGCAGCTGCTAAAACAAGGCTGACTGCTTCCTTCTGGAAGAGTAGTGGCACCTGTGGGTGGAAAATCCATGGGAAGTGCCCTGGGGCCACCTTTGCTTTGGAAGCTGTGAAGCAGCATGCTCAGAGCCTGTTGTTCCCACTGTGCTGGTGTGTACAATGCTGGAGACAGCAGCTTTAGGCAGCAAGCTTGGCTGGTTGGGAAATGCAAGGAGCCATCCAGCCAAAGAGGGAGAACGGCAGGACAACAGACCTGCCCTAAAGTTCACCTGGGTAGGACCACTTAGTTTGCAAAAGACCGTGGGGAACTGGTCCAAACCAACAATGCCCAGTCAGGAGACAGAAAGACTAATGCCTGGCATTGAAAGCATTCCTGCTCTCCTCCACATCAAGACAAAGTTGAAGTCCATCCAGCAACAGCTCCTGGATGCAGGAAAAATACCAATTCTGGAAAGACAGTGAGGTGCCATGGACCTTCTTCTCACCCCTTCATAGCCCATGCCCAGTAGTAAAAGCTGCACCTCTTTCCTCTTCTGGCTTCACCCCCTCTGTGGTCCTCTGGCAGTGAGAATAATGCAGGGAGCAACACAAGATGGACATGGTGACATTGGTAGCAGTAAAGTCTGAGAAAAAAAGGATGGGGAGGTATGACCCCTAGGGAGGGAGAGGGACTGTTCAAGAACAGATTAGGAAAGGGGAAAGGAATAAGGGTACTGTGGGCAACATATTAGGAAACTCTGTGCTGTGGTGGGATCTCTGTGTTGGCAGGACACTGGTGCCCAGAGGCACTGAATACTCAGGCTTGCAGAGCAGGATTGGAGGAACCATCTCTCCAGCAAGCCAAGTAGATATCTTCATGACACATCACAGGGCTTCCCCTCTCCTGCCTCTGCTGTTCCTCAGCTGCCGGACCTGTAGGGGAGGAAGGGGTGGCCAAGGAAGGAGATTTTGTAAATGTAGGGACAAAATCAGTAACAAGGCTGCTGCAAGCTCAGCCATTATAATTCCGTATGGTTGGTGCCCTGTGGCAGCATGTGCAGATAGGAGAAAGGCTCTGAGATCACCTGTACCCAGCTGTGGGGCCTGCATGCCCTGGGTCCATGCTATGATCTGTGTGGCTGTGATCAAGCCCACTCATTGTCAGCTGTGCCTCTCTTCCTCTCCTTGCGGAGCTGAGCTAGCCCTCTGCCCCAGATCCTCTCTCCTTGTTACTGCTCTCTGTGCTTGCTTGCTGCATCTTGTTTCATGGAAAAGGATTCACCCCCACCCCTCATGTGGGGCATAGGCCACGACTGTGCCCTGGGGCCTCCTGCTCTGCCTTGGAGACTTCAGATATCAGGGCAATCAGCCTGGGTGTTTAACGGCAGAGGAAGGTGCTGGAGAAGTGCTAGTGTTGATTACCCGTGCCACAGCAGAGGCACTGGTTGAACACATCAAAGGATGTCTCCCTTTCATCTCACTGCTCTGAGCAGACGGCTCCGAAGCATCTCTTCCAAGGACAATATGGGGGAGAACTCTAATAACCTTACAGTGTGGAGCCCTGCCAGCGCTCCCAGTGGCTGCTCTGGCGGCAGCTAAAGGGGCGCCTTCTCTGCTTCCACCCTAATTGCCCTTAATTGGCTCCTGCCTGCTGGCAGCAGAACGGCAAGGGCTCTCCAAGGATCACTGCACCAGCGTGACAACGTTTGGAGAAGGATTGGCGGCCCCTGCCTTGCCCCACCTCCCTCCCACTCTCCCACACCCACCAGAGCAATACAGTATGAGATTTTTCTGTCTGTACATGACTTTTTCTTTCCAGGCCCTGCTCTGGAGGGGACTTTGCCAGGCAGCCAGGGCAGGGAAGCAGAGCAGGATCTGTGTCCTGAAGTCAGAGGGGGGGGTGTGGTGGCCCTTAGCTGATGAGGGATATAAGCATTGTCCCTTCATATAGCATTGCAACCTTTTTGCCCAAGAGCATGTGTGGGTGCAGTGGGCCCTGCTGCTCTGCTTTGTGCCAGGGCTGCCTATGCAGGTGACCAGAGCTTTGAGATCCCCTATGCAGAACCAGCATACCAGGGGATTAAGCCCACAAAATCCCACTTTCCCTAGGGAGAGGTGCCCCTGTCCTGGAGCAGCCAGGTGGGAATGGGGCTGTATCCCAGTGTGATCTCCTGGCTATGGCCTGCACTGGGGCCCTATCCTGGGAGTGTGCAGAAGCAGCAGGGAGGGCTCCTCTCTGTCCCTGCTCCGTGTCCCAGTGCTGTGTGAGGACACGTGATGCAGAGGGCCCCCACTGCCCCCCTTTCCCAGGAAGGGTTCTCCAGGACACGCTGGGCCTTGGCATGTCTGGATCCAGTTTCCTGTGGCAGACCTCCCTGAGCTTTCCCCTCTCCGCCTGACACCCGCACAAGCCATTCTCTTGTGTCAACAGGAGGGTGGGAAGCCACAACACGAAAAGGACCTTGTAGCCCTGACCAGGCACGTCCCCATCAGACTGCCTCCCCACTCCTGCTCCCAGCCAGGACAAACCCTTGGCTGCAGCAGAAAAATATAGCCAAGCATCTCCCCAGTCCCTCATGGTTACCCACGTCCCAGCCTGGGCCAGCCTCCGCAGGCAGCAGGCATCACGTGAGCAACGCGCTCCACAGAAAGCTGGCAGGGGCACGGAAGGGCAAACACAACACAAATACGATTCTGATGGAGGGAGCTGCGATGTCTTTCCCACTGAGGTTATTTTTAATCTGTTTATCAAAGGCTCACTGCTCTTGGCAGCAGGGTGGTGGGCTATTTTTGGATGCCTGCTTCACCTCTCCACAGAGATGGGCTGGCATAGGCTTGTCCCTTTTTTTCCCTGGCACCCTCAGACCTCCCATGTTCTCTGAGGTTTGCCCTACTAAGTCCACCACTGTATGCTTCCTCAGATGTGGAGGGACTTTTTAAGCAGAAGGTCTGAGCTCAGGCACAGCCTCATTATTAGTCCTTATTAAAAAACCCCTTCTCATCCTTTCCTTCTATCAGTGGTGAC